TAAAACCTGTACGGTAATCTATTTTTGCATAATAAAACATTTTTAATGCGTGCGAAATCTACAATCGCCGTAATGTAGCTTTATCTGTTAATACATTTTTGAGTAATTTTGTGATCGATAGTAATAAAATCTGGAATAAAATTATTTTAATTAAAAATACACATGTATAACCAATAATTGCACATAAACTGCAAACAGGTATCGTTAATTTAATGTTAAATTATTACTTTAATTTATTACTTTGGCCAATTCATAGCAGTTATTTTAAATAATCCAGGAAAAATACGTAATTAATTGAATTAGCTATAGTTTAGTTATTATATATAATGCTAAACGATTGTTTATAATGTATTAACCATTAAAATATATGGAAATTTCTCTTTATTTTGAACTAAATTATATTTCAGCTTTAATAAATTTAAAAAAAAATAACTAGTTGGCCGAAATTATTTTATTAAATTAAAAAATTAGATTCTATCTTGTACAATTTAATAACCCATTTTACAGTTTTTCAATTTGCATTACTTATTAAAACTGCATGAACATGCAAACGGGTATGATCAACTAAAACTCTTTATATCTTACCTGAAAGCACTGCTAGTAGTTGGCGCCATGATTTTTTTATCAGTTCTTTTTTCATGTCACTTTAAGGCAAAGAGTTGTCAGTCTTACTATATATTCACTTGATGTACAACTAGCTCCTAAATGGTAAGTGATTTAAACAATACTTTATGTTTTGGTTGTACTTTGTTATCTAGCAAAGCAAAGTTGAACAAATACTCAACACGATTTAATAAACAAAGCCTAGTGCAAATTATCTTGGTTCAATTACCTGTTTCTTATTTAAATGAAATGAAGTTTAACTAACGATCCGGACGAATTACAATTTGTCGTGGAATTATTACACGTGTTAATGTAATAAATAAACAATTTTTCTAGGTAATCATTTTCTTTGCACTTTGTTGTTAAAACTGATGAGAATTCTGACTGTCTACCATTCGTTTTTGTGACTTCAGGTAGGGCTGAGCAGGTAACATTTTCAATAAAGGGCGAGGTTACATTTCTGTGGCTGACCCTTCTCAAGAGCGCCGTAGACTGTGGAGCGTAGACTGAATGGAATTTTCTTGCGTATTATTCACCCTCTGAAGCATCATACAGCGCTAGCGCCTTATATCTGATATCTACCTACTCAAAATATTATTTTTCTCCAAGTTTTCCAATGTGGTTTGCTACTTGTTTTATGGGCATTAAGTTTCTAAAGTCGTAAGACACAATAGTTTTGTTTTGTTTTAGAAAAACTCATTTGATATCATTACTTTGACATTCTAGGTCCGATGCAAAAAATATTTTTATTTGTAGATACAATTTTTCCATTACATTTGAAACGAATTTATTTTTTTTGGTCAATCATAATTTTTCACCACCACAGTCTTTACGTAGGCGTAATTGAATGATTTGGTTTATAAAATAATTACTTGTTGAAAAATGGGTCAAAGTTATAGATTGAAATTATGCCATCTACTTTTTGCATTTAATATCACAACTGCTCTTATTATTTTATAATTATTACAATGACTGGTAATTCTTGGTTTAGGTGTTTGGGTCATACAATGTGAGCAAATATTAATAGAAGTACATTTCAGATAAGAAACAGTTTTGCTATTCGGTATAAGGACTCAACCTTTTGTTTACCATTGGCTTTACAACCTGATAATTTATTATTAGGAATGCGATTAAAGTCTTATGTATGTTAGGGTCGGTTTTTCCTATATTTTGCTAATATCTAAAACGGTGAGATTGTCTTAATTAAACAGACGAGTTAAAGAAAACAGCATTTTTACCTAAACAAGGTAACTAAGATGCAAATTGTTTATATAATTTATTTAGTTCAGTCCATTGTTATGAGAAAATGTAGGTGTATATTATGATCCTACTGGCATGTTGTTGCAAACCCAAGTCGCAATGCATATAGTTCGGACGTTCAAAATTGGCACAGTCCGCAATAAAACTGTCACATTTATTTTCTTCTCTCGAATTCCTAACTAGACAAGACTGGCTGCTGGCGCCTACTTTTACCTACGACAGACGTTATGGGGAATATCGCAAATATAGAAAAGAGATGGTTAATTTAGAAATTCGAAAAAGGTTGTTAAAGGGGTATGTTTGGAGCGCGGCGCTGTACGGGTGCGAAACATGGACAGTGGGTGCGGCGGAAAAGAAAAGGTTAGAAGCGTTCGAAATGTGGTGTTACAGGCGAATGGTGAGGACAACGTGGGTGGAAAAGGTTAGAATGATGATGATGATGATGAGAAAAGAGATGTCAGGTAGGCATTGCAGCGGACACTTATAAACAAAAAGGAATAAAATAATTCGAAGTGGTCTGTATTCTGTCGAAACTGCCAGACGCGGATCGCGATTCGATCTTTTTGAATGTCATCAGCGCAACAGAACACAGACCTTTTACCTGCTGTCTTAACAGTGCGTTTTAGAAAATACTACAAATGGCGCAGTAAACGCCATCTGTAGCACGATACTACATTTTAGGATTACGTATGCTCCAACAAGGTCCACTTGTGTGGATATCTATAGGGTTGTTCGGAAAGTCATTTCGTTTTTTCCCGACAGAGGATTTAATTGTATTCTTTTGCACCCAACTTCACATTTAAGCCGTATAATTTTTATATGCTTTGAGAGCTCATATAGCAAGGCTTGTGTGTGAAAAATTCCAATTAATTCTACGCAGTAGTTTTTGGTTGGTGCCCTTTTAAATATGGAGAGCGATAAGCAGCATTTTCGACATATCTTACTGTTTTACTACAGAAAGGGTAAAAATGCTGTTCAAGCCAGAAAGAAATTGACTGATGTGTATGGAGAAGGTGTGTTGACAGTACGCCAGTGCCAGAACTGGTTCGCTAAATTTCGATCCGGCAATTTTGATGTCGAAGATGCACCACGTTCGGGAAGGCCGGTTGAAGCTGATAAAGACGCGATAAAGGCATTAGTTGATGTGAACCGGCGAATAACAACACGTGAGATCGGATTGAGGTTAAATTTATCAAATTCAACAGTTTATGACCACTTGAAAGGCCTGGGATTATCCTCGAAGCTCGATGTATGGGTTCCCCATGTTCTCACAGAGAGAAATCTGTGTCGCCGCATTGACGTCTGCGATTCGCTTCTCAAACGTCACGAAAATGATCCGTTTTTGAAGCGCATCATCACTGGGGACGAAAAATGGGTTGTATACAACAACGTCAAACGCAAGAGGTCATGGAGCAAAAAAGATGAACCGGCTCAAACCATTTCCAAAGCCGATATTCACCAAAAAAAGGTGATGCTGTCTGTTTGGTGGGATTTTAAAGGAATCGTTTTTTTTTAGCTTTTACCGGATAACACAACGATTAATTCGGAAGTCTACTGTCATCAGCTGGACAAACTGAATGATGCACTTCAACAGAAAAGGTCAGAACTAATCAACAGGAAAGGTGTAGTGTTTCACCAAGACAACGCGAGACCTCACACAAGTTTGGTCACTCGCCAAAAGCTTTTACAGCTTGAATGGGATACAATGCTACACCCACCATATTCTCCAGACCTGGCACCATCGGATTATTATTTGTTCCGGTCACTCCAAAATTTTTTAGACGGTAAAACCTTCACCTCAAATGAGGAGGTCAAAAACCTCCTCGATCAGTTTTTTGCCAGCAAAGACCAAAAATTTTATGAGCGTGGAATTATGCTACTACCAGAAAGATGGCAAAAGGTGTTAGACCAGAACGGTCAATATATAATTTAATAAAGTATTTGTTTATTATACGAAAAGTGTCTTTCATTTCCACAGAAAAAAACGAAATGACTTTCCGAACAACCCCCTATACTTGCTGAAAACGAATCCTTGCGTAGCCAACCTCAACGTGATAAGCACGTTAGCTTAATCGAATAAAATAATTCGAAGTGGTCTGTATTCTATAGAAACTGCCAGACGCGCTGATGGGATCCAAAAAGATCGAAATCGCGATCCACGTCTGGCAGTTTCGACAGAATTTGAATATGTTGCCAGTATCGGATTACAACTAGCTGTAAAAAATTAAGTTCGCGTGCAGCAGAAGCTAGGATATGTATATACACCGACTGTCCTGCTTCAACAAGCATATTACATATTTGATAACACTTATCACGATATTGTGTGCTAGACTTTCACGTGTTCAGTAGTATCAATTAAAATAGAAAAGCAGGTCCGCTTTAATTAAGGGTATTAAGACTATTTCGTAATTTCGTATGTACTGTAAGATGGGGCAGCAGAAGACAAACTATAATGATTAATAAAACGTAAATCGAGTGATATGCAACTTTAATGTTTCAGTAGAACATTTAATAAATTCTGTACATGTTTTCGTTATTATAATACACAAAGTTTTATAAAAAAATCCTATCAGTGTGACATGCTTTCCATGATGGCAAACTTATGTATTATATATTACATATATTACAGTAAGGTTATAGTTTCGATAGGTTATTGTAAATAAATACATACCGCAAGTATTATATGCAAAAGGTAACAAATGCTCATCAGTACAGCCGGAAAAATTACCTGATACACGCTAGTGAAAAATCCCAAATTTGTGTATAAAACTGTAAAATTGTAAAAAACTATACGAATTACACACTAAGGTAAGAAATTGGGTCAAATTGACTTTGTTATTCTCGGAACTTATTATTATTTTTTCCTATACCGTATACATACATTGTTAAAGGCAACAGTTAACAAAAAGGCAATTATTTGAGTAATTGGAAAGCCCCCTAAGAAGTATTAGCCCAAGATAATAAAATATGTTTTCGAGTGTTAATAAAAAATCCAGACCCGTCTTAAAAAAAAGAAACTTACTAGTTGTATCTCGAAGAACGTATCGAAATTTTAGGCAACTGTTAGAAAAACCTCTGTACATCATACTAAGTAAAACTTGGAAACACTTTAGACCAAATTAAGAACTGCCCATTTTGTCTAATTTAAGCGATGTTTAAGCTCTTACAGTTTCGGATGAAATAATACTAGGCACACTTGAAATACACATCCTCTATAATATAAATCCTCTGTAACGAAGGAAAATTGCTGAACCACTGAGTTTCACTGCAGGAATGAAGGTCATACAGCATTTGAAAGAATTTTTTTAAATTATAACGAAGTATTTGAATAGTCACAAACCCTTCAGCATCATTTGAATTTCTTCTAACGTTTTACCTTTGGTTTCAGGTATGAAAAATTGACAGAATAATGCAGTTACTAAGCACAGTCCTGCAAAAATAAAGAACGGGACGTGCATTCCATACAACGATTTGAATTCCATGAACATGCAAATTGACGCAAGCGCAAGTATACTAAACCAAATATCTAAGGTTGCCATTGTCATCGTTTTGATACTGGTGGGGAATAATTCCCCAAAAAGGACAATTGGCACCAATCCAATGCCAAATTTGTTAAATAAGAAATATAATGTAACTGACGCTAGCGGTATCCAACTTACGTGGGAAATATCACCCCCTGTGTTCTTTACATAAAAATAAATTGCTAAAACCGCAAGAGACAAGCCTGTCAGTATACTGGAGCTTACTAAAAGTATTTTTCGACCTAATCTATCCACAAGAAATGATGCTGCAATGCAAGCAAATAACATAGTTACAGCTACTATTATGGGGGCTACGGTTGGAGAAACCACAGACTCCGCATCTTCTAATATTACATGCAGATTCATTATGAAAACGCTTATTCCACTGAAATGTTGCGCTAATACGAGCGCGGCTGCTATTGTAAATGCTTTGAGGTTACTTTTGACCATGAATACATCAGTTATTCGTCTTTTTTCTGATTCCTGCCTTTGTACAGCGTTCGTTATATCTTTAAGTTCGTCATAAACATCATCCTTTCTGCGAAAGATTTGTAGAGAGTTTAGGGCAGCTTTTTGGTTTCCTTTATTTATATGATAATACGGAGTTTCCGGCATGAAACTAAAAGTTACTACCTGAAGAATAACACATGCTATTCCAACAGATGATGAAATTACTATAGATGTAAACGGTGCAATAAAATATATTATTAATATTCCTACATGCATATTAATATAGAAGAATGTTCCTAAAAATCCTCGAATACTCTCGTCTGCTATTTCTGCAATGTAGATTGGTAAGGAAACAAACGTAATGTTCCCAGCGGCACCAGCGATAAATCGTGCTAAATAGAGGACTTCTATTTTCTTAGTAGTAGCGATTAATGTCCATGCTACTAAATGTTTTATTGCTGCTAATATTATAATTGGTTTTCTACCCATAAACTTTGTGTAAATGGCTATAGCTAATATACCGAAAATACCGCCTACCATGTAGACGTTTTCTATTAATCCTTCATCGCCTTTTGATATTTTTATTGGACTATCTTCTTGACGTAGTTTTGGTATAATAGGAGCCGACCATCCGTATTGCATTCCGTCATTAATTGTTCCAATACTACCTTTAAAAACATAATTAGTTATAATTATTGTTTAAATATGTAAAACAGCTATCTATTTCTAACATTCAGAAACAATAGAAAACATATAGTTTCCTAACTATGCTTGTAGTTTCGGTCACGTAGATAATTTTACATGACAAAACATTTACGTTTCTTTGGTAAAATTGCAATATTTAATGCTGACTTTGTTTAAACATACTAAAGGACAAAAGAAAACGTAAAAATTGCAGATTTCTCTCGGAAGGTAGGAAAATAAAAAAAGTTCATCATTTGAGATGTGCGAATTGTTATTAACTCAAATCGAATCGAATAGAGGTAATACTATACTTATACGTTATACCTATCCAAAGTATATTGCGTTTTCTGGAATGGGATATATGATAGAAGTGTTGAGAAATGTGTCTGGAATTACTAAATTGGAAAACAGCATCAATTGTTCTGGACTTTCAACAACATTTTTGCTATATAAAACCCACCGATGGAATTATTTTATTGGGATAATTCGTACTGCCTTTCTTCCACATTTCTTCGGCTAAGGGTAATTGAATTTTGTTAATATGTTATGAACAAGACTTATGATATCCCAAAACTTTTAGTTAAAATACATGTCGTTGTTGCATTTACATCATAGAGATGTAAATAGGTTTGATTCACTGGACCGAGCGAAATTCGAAAATTAGTGACAGTGAACCCTAAATTATGCATAATTTCTTACGGTATTACAACACATCTCAACTGGCAATGATCTCGTTTTCCTACATGATTTCTTCAAAACATAAGTTACCTTCCAAAAACCCTCTTAATCTTACATCCTTACATCGTACAAATTTAAATTGACTTGAACCCAGTGGCGGATTTAGGTCTACATGAAGAAAACTAAATTTTTATGACAACGCAAAAATTATAATTTTCGATTGTAAATGACTGAATTTGCCGTAGAAATAGTAGAATTTATTATGTAACATAGTATGTAAGTAGTTTAAGATAGTTAGCATGTATAAGGACATAGTATAGAGGCTCATTGAGCATACACGAGAAGTAATAAATAAATAAATAAAAAATAAATAGTAGAATTTATAAGGTAACTTGTAATAATCTCAAAGTTTGACTTGTTTCTTTAAAAATTATTTCAAGTTTCTTAGTTATTACAATTAAATTTGTAATATCAACTAAAATACCTAGTAAATGTATTTCTGTTGGGATTTTATTTTTACAAATTCGGGTCCAAATTGTAATTTTTATTATTTTCGCATACGAAGCAACGGACTAGTAGGGTAAATTGTAAATATCGCCTTAATATTTAAGCAAATTTTCGTTTTTCATTTTCTCCTTATATGCATAAACTTCTTCAGAGGGAGTTGATCTATACAATTCGTAACTAATGGATAATTTTACAATTTTTACAAGTGAAATGGCGGAGTCCCATGAGTGGTGAGCCCGTGCAGGGTGCGTCATGATAGATTCGCCTCTGGGTTTCTCATTATTTACTTATTTATTTATTTATTACGACCAAAAATTGAATTTACTTTGATGACTTACCAGTAAATGCAGCTAAAATTTGGAGCCACGAGTTTCTAACTACACTAATTTTCATTGTTATACTTATATAACAGTTTCTTCAAAATTTGTATGGAGCAGCAAAACCGTTCTCACTTAATATCAGTTTTGTTTGAAATTGGTAGGATGTTAACTATATTATCGTCCAAATATGTAAAACAATTATCTATTTCTAACTTACAGATACAATGGAAAACATTCGTAGTTTCGTAACTATACATATAGGTTCTTGTAGTTAATTATATTATCAGATATAATGGAAAACATTCACAGTTTCGTAATTTGAAAATTGCTGATAAAGAACCCTAAATTATGCATCATTACCTACGACTTCGCAACACATCGCATATTGGTACACGATTTTTTCAAAACATAAGTCTGTTGCGCTTATTGTCGAGTCAATGAAGCCTAAAAATCGACCAAACTTCTTAATTCTCAGCAACAGCTCCGATTTTGGTCAGTTTTTTTAAATACTTGCGTGATTTTTAATATTATTTAAAATCAGAAATATTCCAATTTCAGGAAATAATTTTTTGTATTGTTTAAGCAATAAAAACTGAATTTACGGGAAAAATAATTTTTAATTTCTTTTTCGCGTTATTTATGAAAATGCCAATCGTTTTCATTGAAAATTTAGTATCAACAATGTTTCCCGCAGTCGTGATGAATAATTATTTATATTGTTTAAGAAATAATAATAGCAATATTTACGGAAGTGAATGATGAAATTGCTGTATATCTAAATTTAACCTTTCAATGAATATGTTTTTTAAAAAAAATAAAGATAGATATTATTTTCTTATCCTTTATCCCTATTTTATAACACCCTATCTAGGAAATGGTCCATCATAACACCCACACACATAAATTCTATGTAACTATAAGAAACTGTGCGCCTATTCAAGCGTTCATTTGTGAAACAATTTATAACAAAAATCACATTCCTGGTTAAAATAATTCATCTTTTGCAAAATGAATAAACGTTATTGATCATGAATTGGTTTTTAGCTGCAATTAGAACTGCCGCCAGGTTGTTGAATTTTGTCGCGTACCTGGCGTACTAAGAATGATGCTCATGTTTCAGAAAATCAGAGAATCTTTTGAACTACTAATACTTCAAAATATTCTTATATATATATAAATGATAATAGGTACATGCCCAGAAAATAGTTTTTTGTTAAAGAACAACAGGGTGTTTCTTGCTTTTGTACATTTTAGTAGTATTAGAAGCACTTTTTTGACCATACAATAAGTTCCTAGACAAAAATTTTCAGTCTCTCTCCAGTCTCTCAGAATCTTTCAGCGTCTCTCACAGCCTTTCACAGTCTCTCAATTATTGCCTAGGTGTTTTTATGGATCTCTCACGGTCTCTGTATGAGAGACTCGAACGATAAAATTGTTAATTCAGAGATTCGAGTCTCTCGTTCGGAGATTGGATACGAAATGAGGATCTCTCGTTCATAGACGCTAAACAGTTTTTTTGACAGTTTCACTCAACAACACCAGAGAGACTCGATGAGAGACTCGAGTCTCGCTTTCAGAGACTCTGAGAGACTGAACATTTTTATCTCGGGATTATAACTAAATAATATTATAAAACATGGTTTTTCGGACTTTTTAATGTAAAAATCTCATTTAGCTACAAAAAACAGCAAATTGAACATTGGAATCTCGCTTAGAATATAATGGATTCTATTTATTTATGGGTATACAATGACAGCATATACATATGTATATATTTATCTAAAAAAATAATGGCTGAGTATATCCATTTTTGGATTGTATTGCAGACCAATGGTACCCCTGATCATTAACTTGTGGAACGCATATGCTTATGTAACTGTATTCCTTAATTTTCGTTATTTACTAGTTTCTTCAGATCGAATTAAATTGCATAATAAATAAAATAAATTAAAATAAATAGGTTCGACATTCTTCTTTACGATTTCAAAATCATTTGGATTTCTTCTAAGGTTTTGCCTTTTGTTTCTGGTATGTAAACAATTGCAAATAAAGCAGTGATTGCACAGCATCCGGAGAAAACAAAGAATGGCACATGCATTCCGTAGAAATCTATAAATGACACATACAAAAAGACGGATAGCATACAAAAAATGCAACTTATTACTACACCGAACGTTGTACCAACAGCTTTCATTTTGGTAGGAAATAATTCTCCTGACAAGACAATTGGGACCATGCCAAGTCCGAATTTGAAACACCAAGAATACAATAAAACCGCTACTAATGGAACCCACTCGTAATGGGAAAGGTTGTATCCGTTCTTTTTAAGAGCAAAATATGTAGCTAATAGAAATAATGCTATACCTGATGCCATACTGGAACTTACAAGTAATTTTTTACGTCCGAGCTTATCTATGACAAACGATGATGATATACAAGCGGCTAACATCACAGTTACAATTATAATAGAAGCTGCAGATGGTCTGATAATGGAATGAGCATCTTCTAAAATTGTGTGCAAATTCATGAGCAGCACACTGATTCCTGCGAAGTGTTGGGAAAAGTTCAGTACACAGTTTATTAGAAAAGCCTTTCGATTGCTTTTTATCAAAAACAAATCGATTATTCTTCCCTCTTCCGATTCCTGCCTTCTTACAGCTTTCCGAATTTCATTTAATTCTACATACACGTCCGCCTTTCCGCGGAACGTTTGTAACGATTTTAGGGCATCACTGTAATTGTCTTTAATGAGTAAATAGTATGGAGATTCGGGCATGAAACTGAACGATATTATTTGGATTGTGGCACAAGTAGCTCCCACGCAAGAGGAAACAGAAACTGACGTAAATGGGGCAATGCAGTATATAATCACTACTCCAACCATCATATTGGTGTATATAAATGTTTCTAAAAAGCCTCTAACGGATTCCTCTGCGATTTCTGCTATATACATTGGGATAGTAACAAACGGTATGTTACCAGCAACTCCTGCTAAAAACCGAGCAAAATAAAGGACTTCCACCCTAGATGTGGTTGCTATAAGTGACCATGCCACAAATTGTTTTACTGCGGCCAAAATGATAATAGGTCTTCTACCCAACACTTGAGAATATATTATTGTCAATATGAGACCAACTAATGCACCAATCATTAGAATATTTTCTATCCATAGTTGATCTGATTGTGTTATTGAAATCGGACTATCCGGTTGGAGGAGTTTCGGTATCATCGGTGCTGTCCAGCCATAATGCATACCATCGCTAATTGTTCCAAGTGTACCTTAAAAAGAAAAATTTTTTCGTCTGCATATCAGAATCAACAGAAATGTTTATTGATTTTTGACATTTTTTTAGGATATTCAAAAATGTTTCAGATGGATTGTAATGGATTTAAGGGGTTTCCCCTTGCGAATATTTGTTACAAATTTTACTGAATTAAAGGTAATATCTCAATAACAAGCGGTATGAACTGAAATGTGGAGATTGCAAGGAAGGCTGCATTGGACAAGCAGGAAAGTCCTTTGAAGAAAGAATAAAAAAATATTATTACGCTTGTCCAGTATTTATTGTAGAAGGAGGAGAATGAAACTTATTTAATTTAAAAAGGACTGTTAAGGGAGGTAAAATACTTAAAAAATGTATTGCATTAACCTAGAATTGTACTTAAGTCGCCCGCCAGTTAAATTTAAAAAAATCCGAAAGCGTACGAATTTGCAGGCTAATCTATTCGTATATGTGGGACACGCAGAGTCTAGATTGGGTTGAATTTTTGGTTACATTTAAAACTTAAAGAGAGAGTGATAGCGAGTGCTAGTGACCACAGGGTTTTCAACAATTTTTAAAACATATTAAAACCGATTTTAAATATTCCACACTATACCTGTTACCTATTATTTACAGAACTAAAAGCGTCTCGGATTGTATTAGATTAAAAAAAAGGCTGGTTACGTCCCTGACTTAAGACAATTGTACAATATTTTTTCTGTTTAACACTTAAATATGTCCATCGTTATCTAGAGTAGGATTCACATTTGACATAGCTACATGATTAATTGCAGTAACAAGATCTCTTAACTCTTGATTTTTCATCAAAAATTAATTTTTCGTTTGTTGCAAGCGGCAGGAAAATGTACTATTAATGTTTTAAATCGTCTTTTTGATTTAACGTAATAACAAGAAATGCTTCTCCTTCTTCTACACTCCATGATGCGAAATGAATAACGCTATTTCATTTGAAAACAAATTAATGGTATTTTGGCTTTACGAGAAACTGATAATACTGATACTATATCAATTACGAAATTCAAACACAACGTACGCGGAGAACCTTGTAAAAATGTAACTACTTTTGATAACAATTCTGATGTTTCATCCTTACATAAAAAAAATGTGCGATTCGGTTTTCGCGGTAATTTTATGCATTATTCAATACCCCTCTATGGCGTAATTGCGACATCAGTAACTGGATGTGTGTAGCATCGCTCCGACGAACTGTTGTTTATTACTTTAAATTTGCAAACGAAATATTATTAAAAATAAAAAGATAGTCGAAATTGGTGTGCTGACCTTTGATCAACATGAACGGATAATGAGAAAATGCAAGTATTTGATGAATCATAAATGAAGGAAATTTTTGAAATATAGGTTATTTTACCTGTTATTACTGCTACTAGTTGAGGCCATTTAGAAATGAAAATTCTCCTGGGATTGTTCTCGTTCATTTTCGTGTAATTGTAAGTAACTAATGCGTGTCTTACATGTTAATTTATTTCAATTAACAATTCAGTAATAATTTCCAGACTGATTCATACGTAAGCATCACTCGTCTGTGGTAAATTAACTTTGGAGTGTTTCCAACGTTTTATTTACTCAAAAATTACGTAGCTGTTTAAAACTCTAAATAAAATTTTATTTTTATCATTTTTTATTCAGAAATGTTGAATTCGTTTCCATTTTTATTTGGATTTCAATTAAGCAAGTGCACTTGTTGCTGGAGATAAGATAGTAAAGAGATTAGAAAAGAGAACATAAATCAATTAATTTAAATGTTTCACTTTTTTATAGTCTCTCAAACATTAAGTAGTTATGCTACAGGTATTAACCTGTTAATTATTAAACCCTAAATTCAGTATTCATTAAAATGTTCATCAATATTGTGAGAATGAACGTATTTTCATTCTTATTTTTACTTAGGACTGTAGTCATTTGCTCGTTTTGAATGGTGTAGACAAATTAATCAAACACTAGTAAGCGGTGCAGCAGTTAGACGTTAGAGGTTGCTTCAGTATACAAAAGATTAGGGTCGGCTTTATAACTGTCTGGTTGGAATTATGTCTTTGCTTTCCTAAGAATATTGAACTTTCTTTAAAGTCTGATGCTGGGTCAAATTCTGCTTGTCTGCATCTCTTTCTGTTACACATTAATATTTTATATAAAAGAAATTATGAGTGCTGCCAGCAAAGGATAACGTAGTATTACGTACTTAGTATCAGTGATTTCTTATGCTGATGTGTACGATGTGTTGCATACCTATTTACAAACAATTCCTTTAAATTTAATTTTTCAAACAATTTTGAACACAAAGAAAGTAATTAAACAAATTGTTCACAAAAGTGAATTTCGACCACTCGAAGCAATGGTGCTAACAGTTTCGAG